TGTAGATCATGAGAAGCTGTTGAGGTGTAAAGTAGCTTTTCGCACGGAACAAGGATCCGAGTTTTTGTGAAGCAGCTTTTGTGATGGATCTGACATGATTATCCCATGAAAGAGTGTTGCTGATGGAAATACCGAGCATAGATATGGTGGGCTTCGTGGAGATGGTGGTGCCAGACATTACAATGTCGGGCATAATGAGTTCCGCCTTTCTAGAGAAAATACAGGCTTGAGTTTTGGTGGCGTTGAATTTAGCTTGGTTATTGATTCTCCAGGCTGTGATTTCAGCAAGGTGTTCATTGACAGCATTGACCTGCCTGCGCCGTGAGTTCTCAGTTTCCTGGGAAGAAATGGGAATTCTGGAAGAGAACGCAGTATGGAGGGTACTATCATCTGCAAAGCTGTGGATGGGACAAGTTGTTACTCCCATTGATATGAAGAAGGAATAATGTTGGTGCCAAAATTGATCCTTGTGGAACGCCTGAATTGATGCCGATGGTATCAGACGATATACCGTTCACCACCACGTGAAGCGATCTGCCTGAAAGAAAACTCGATAAGAGATGGCATAGCTGAGGTGGTAAGCCATATGATGGTAGTTTGTGGAGGAGTCCTTCGTGCCAAACACAGTCGAATGTTTTCGATATGTCCAACGCGACAGCTAGAGATTCCCCGTGTTTTTCTAATGAAGCTTTCCATAAATGGGTGACGTAGGCAAGTAGATCTCCAGTAGATCTTCGGTGGCGAAAGCCGTATTGTCTATATCATTGATGATTTCTGAGCTCTCCAGATATTTGATAAGCTCAATATTGATGGCTTTCTCCATCACTTTGGAGATTACTGATAACAGGGCAATGGGCCTGTAGTTGTTGGGCAGGTTCTTGTTCCCTTTTTTGGGGATTGGTTGGACTCTAGCTGTCTTCCAGCATGATGGAATTTATACCCGACCTGTACGAGACGGTAAACAACTTGCAGAGAATCGGTGTTAATCCTGGTGCACATTTTTGAGGATAATGGGTGGAATTCCGCCTTATTCGTTTTGAGACCAAGCAAAATTCGTCTGATAGTGCGTTGACGGAAGACGATCTCGGGCATTCGACTCTCAACGGGTGGAATGTCTGGTGGCACTTTTCCTTGGGAATCTGAAATAGAGTTTGCTGCGAACGAACATCTCTGCAAAAATATTTGCTTCCCCCTGCGATGTTGTTGCTAATGTGCCGTCGGATTTGGACAGTGGTGGAAATGAACTATTAGTGAAATTTCTTCCGACCGCTTTAGCAAGGGACCAAAACGAACGGGAGCCATTGGGACTATATGAGTTTCGATCTTATCTTGGCATTGTATGTTTCTTTCGAAGCATCTTTTGTTTGGCTGCAGTTCTTCCTGGCATCAACGTATTCTGCTCTAGTAGCGAGATTAGGGGTTTGCGCCAGCGATGGTAGGTTTGTTTTAAAGCAATAGTTCTGGAACAGTCTTTGTTGAACCAGGGTTTCGATGGTGATGATCTTCTCTCTACTCTATGCCAAGGAAACTCGGAGAAAAACATGCGGAGACCGTCCCAATCTCTTGAATTGTAATGCCATATAAGACGTCTATCACTTCCAGTTTCATGGGACACCCTGTATCGAATTCCATAATCGGTTAGGTTTCAGGAATTCAACTATACCGGTTTGATAAGGTTATTTCAAACGATAACAAAGATATCTGGGTTCGAAGTTTCTATATGCTCAATGGGTGTGACTTCGCAATATCAAAACTTTTTACTCTGTCACACACAATGAGCATATGGAAACTTAGAACGCGAATATCTTCGTAATCGTTTGAAATAACCCTATCAAACCCTGTATCGATCAATTAGTTATGACAATCCCTAACTGATTATGGAATACAATACAGTGTGTCCTATTTGAAAAGAGAAAGTTGGGGTCGTTTCCAGTGAAACCAGAAGTGATATAACAAAAATTGTTACGTCAATTGATGAGCAATTTATTGGTATAATCAGAGATTATACACTCCATAATCTCTGGTATAATATAGCTGCCCACTAATTTTCAAAACCCTATCTGGAATGATCCAAAAGTTACAGTCCTGCCCGATTTTTTTGCACATCTCTGTATACAAGTAATTGAACAAAATGTTGTATAAGGAGCATCGGCATCTTGAAACAAAAAACATGAGCGGAGGCAATATTTCATTTTTATAAGGATAATTGAGTAACTTGAAACGAGTCACAAAATGTTGATATTTCTGTTATCAATAAAAAATACCAAGTATACGCTATCGTTGTATTCCAAATTGACGACACGAAATTTCCAATAAAAATATACAGGGGATGTCATTTGGAAATAAAATGTGGGAGGTAGCTGCCAGAGAACTGTCAAATATAATGGATTTTTTCATATGTCATTAGGAAGGTACTTCAATACAATTCAATGAAGTTTCTGAATTTTTCAACTATCTTGTCAAATAAGCGAGATATTGCCTGTATGCGATAAGTTGGGACACCTGTTAGTTTATTTCGCGCACTGCTTTGCACATGGTGTCGTGGTAACGTAGGACACTAAAAAAAAGTGTCACTTCGCAAATTGTTATCAATGCGCGAACTTTGTTATTTTTTTACGTTTGTAGAAAAAAATTGTTAACATTTGAATTCGAAAATTATTGAAAGGGAGGTAACTCTCTGGCCCTGTTCAGTACTATATAAACATTATGGCTAATTACAGTACAAACAGAATCAAATTTATTTCTCATATTGTCGTGTTGATTTGAACTTGAAAAGTGACAGAAAGTACTAGAATAATGTGAGAAATTTTGAAGTTGACATCTGACATGAGTAACATGACATACAAAACATGACATATGTCAGAGAAATTGTCAAAACATTTTTATTGCCAGAAAACAAATCATGAATGTAAAATATATGAAAATGGATAATAGAATAAACAACCAATACACTCAACTAAGTTTTTCTGGTGTATTGATTTGTTGGCTTGTTGCATTTTGATTATCCAGATTGCTGATCGAGTGAGTTGTTGAATTGGTTCTCATCAGACCAGTACAATAATTGCTCCTTGGGCACCACCCATTTCCCCCAATTTCTCTGACATATTTTCGGTCCGATTCTCTGAGAAGTGTTTAATAGGTTGGCTAAATTAGTAACGTAATGGTTATCAACAACTTTATTAACCACCCCAGATTTTCGACCATTGGTATTTGGTATCCTATAAAAACAACATTTAGAAATGTGGTTAGTTTCCTACATTTCCACTTAGTGGTATAAATAAAGCTGTGAAGTTAGTCATTCACCTATACTATTTCATTGAAAGCACTTGGTTGATACATTGTTTCATTAGAATCAGTCTCCCTGATATAAGATCCTCGTGCAAGTAAATGTGAAGCAGCAAGTATCTGAAATTCTAGGCATGAGTAGTTATAAATAATATTCTCTAAGTGCTCTCTATACTGATATAGTACAAAAACTCAACTGGGAATTATTTTCACATGTAGTAGAATAAAAGTATCCCACCAAAGTCTTCTATCTGTGGTTTTATTAACGGTATCAAAACGTCTAAAACCAATTCTTATGGCATGTGATAAATTTTCCGAAATTCAAGGAAGGATTTTTTGAATCCCTCAAAATTCCATTGTATGATGCTATTGTAGTGTAGTGATTATTATTATTATATAAACTATTATTCGAAACCAATAACTAACCTTTAGACTAATATGTTATACAAATAATTTGGGTAATGTACGTCATATGAAATAGCTGACATTATAATGATTACTACCATACGTTGAAGACCTATTATTTCACGAACATAAACCTAAACATTACATGGCGATCCTGCCAGCTGTTTTTCAAAAAAATAATCGATGTTGGAAATAGGTGTCACGCTAATACTTTGGGGAACACTGTGTGCTGAGATTAGATGACAGAAAAGTGAAACAACAGGAGTCTTCAATGGACAGATTTTGGAGAGCTACACCATGGGTTCAACTACGTCAAAAGAAGAAGTTGTGAAATTGGTGATTTTTTGTTATCACAAATAATTAGGTAGGTATTCAATATATTCTTGTCATAGACTCACCTCTTGCAATATCTAGCATTAACAGATGAACAACATTTCCTTGAAATAGTGCCACATTTTTTATTAAAAACCTTCCTCCACAAATCACCAGAAAAAGCTGATAGGGATATCTGCCACTATAAAAAGTGTGAAAAAAATGACAAGTTATTTTTTATTTATTATCCATCTCTTCCTTAGAAAATCTGTAAGTGGTTCAAATAACCACTGCCCTTCATATTAACCACACGAATGACAGTTGCTAAAATAACAACGCTTTATTAGTGAATCGGACCGATTATACGTCATGTGTCATGTCAGATGTCAACCTCAAAATTGCTTTCATTATTCAAGTACTATCTGTCACTTATCAAGTCCACTTCAACACGACAGTATGCCGCAGTCATGTTAGCTGTTTGAAAAATGTAATCTGCATATTATGTCCTTTTATTAAACAGATTTCAATCTGTTTGTACCGTAATAAGCCATAATGTTTATAGTACTAAACAGGGCCAAAGATATTTCAATGGGTTATTGTCTTGTCAACCTGACCAGTGAGTAACCTCACTTTAACTAATTTTCAAATTTGAAATTCAACAAGTATTAAATTTTCTCTGATGTCTTTTTTCAATTGGTAAAAGCTGATTATTTACAGGTATAAATTATTTTGCACAAAATACAACATTTTGTTCAATTATTGTTTATGTATACACAAATAACTCACACATGTTTGTATAATTGTCGATATTGGTATTACAATGTAATTTAAAAATATGTTTTCACAATGATATTCAGCTATATTGGTGAGATATTGGAAATCAATATGTTGCAATGTCGTTATAAAATCATTGATCAATTTGTTCTCGGAGACTTCCGTCAATTTTGCAAAGTATCAAATCACATGTTGAAATAAGAAAAAAAAACTCATTTGCTCACCAGAGTTTATAAAAGAATCACAGTTTGCTAGAAAGTTTTTCATGTCTAAAAATGCTTGAAATAACTCAAATTACCGAACGACTTGGGAATTAGGCAGTATAGAAAAACAAATCAACTAGTGAATGATAGACTCAGAATTGAAAATTATTTTTTGCATTTCGCTATAATGATGTGCCGTCCTAATCATTAAACATAATCATCCAAGTCACTTTATCATCATGTTAGAGAAATACCATCGTTACATGGTGGAAAAAATAACTAATGTATGGTTATAAACAATAATGGCATAGTGTTACCAACCAATAATAGCCGAATCAGCAATGGATTTAATCAACTCTGGAACCGAAATAATGACACACCTGAATCCAAATCCAAATGACCTGTTGACATTGGATTCCGATATAACTGTTCTCACAACGTATATTAGTATAAAATGGCTTCTACTACTAGAATATACAGCTTGTCTCTAAAAGGTTTGTTGGTTCACAACACCATCACAAAATTCTAAGGCTGAGAGATGTTGATTCATCATCTTATTCCAGAAGTAGATATTATTATGAGCCTTAGAATTCTGTGTCTTGTACCGATCTCTCAGAGATACCTTGTTTTCACTCATTTATTAACATATTATTCCAACTTTGAGCATTTTGTATTTTGTAGTTGTATGTTGTCTCTTAGGTAAAATGATAATACAAATAGAAAGAAACTCAAAGTCACTCCCACAATAGTTCATAAAATAAACGAAAATGTTAGATATACAGGAAAACAACTACTTTCCTGGTTATATGCCACGCATAACATTAAATTACATCCTTCCGAAATCTATTCGAATAGAATAAAATCGCAAGAGTTTCCTTCCTAAACGCCGAGCTGCGCCTGAGTGGTTCAGGAACGTGTCACTACCTAGAGATCGGTTTCGAACTGTATTTGGCTCTCATCAGTGCAGGGCTGTCCCAGATAGCATTCTTGACCGCTATCTGGTGCGAGGCATATAGCCAGGAAAGTACTTGTTTTTCTCCCCTCCAACAGTCAAGCAGCCATCAAAGCCATGAGCTCTTCCGAACCCTTCAATTATATTTGTCAAAAACCCCTTCCTCAACTATAGTTATTCATGACATATAACTTTGATCGACCACATAAGATTATTATGATACGATTAGAAGAACATATTGCTTATTTCTTTATGAAAGATCAAAAACCAACGTAGGTATTGATAAGTAGTTTTGATGATCATATTATAACGCCACATGATTTGGAACTTCAGGAACACGTAATAAACATTGAGTAGTTCAGTAGTTTGAAAGATATCTTTGTTTTGACCCAAGAATAGAGAATTCCATAGTTGTTTGTTCTGATGGTAACGCGTTTGTTGAAGTATTTATTTTCATCGAGCCCTGAAATAGTTTTACATCAATAGAGAATCCTAAATATTGACAATCTGAATTCAAGGTAACATTTGGGACTGAAGATTAAGCTTTGAGCATGTTATTGATGGTATACACACTGAAATTGCTGTAAAATGAAATAAATATATCGGACATGTTCGACCTGATTGAAAAAGCATGCATATAATTACATTTCAGGAATGTTTTGTGGTTCTTTCAACAGAATTTCTATTATACAGTGCATTTGTGAAGTATATTGAATGAATTCATTTTCAGCAAAACTTTCCATTTCTGAGGAACCTTAGATTAAATATCCACGTTTAAGTTATAACGCCTGATACATTATTTTCAAATGAGACTCCCTATATACAGGGTGTCCCGAAATTAGCCTGACAAACTTCACCAGCGGCTTCTACGACTAAAAATAGGAATAAGAGTTATAATGAACATGAGACAAGAAATGTCTCCAAAGGGAGCTAAGGCTCCTGAAGATGATATGTCTTGAATATTTCCGAAACGTGACGTGATACAATGATGCAATTTGGTACCAAATCAGGACCTCGATCTGAACTTTTCATGCCCAATGCGGTGAACTAGAAATCATTGCAAAGTTTCATTCAAAGTGTGTAATACATAGTGGGACTACATTAAAAATTGCTGAAACTTATCTTGTATGCATATTTTTCGACAATTTCATCTTGAATTATGAAAAGCTACACCATTTCACAAAAAAATGCCCCTGTTCCGCATCGATCAGGTGTATCATTTTCGACATAAAAAACGATTTAAAAATACACTCACATCTTATGCAAAACGTTGCCAATTCTCCAATCATAGTAGAAATAAAAAAATCAACTACTTTCTTTTCACCAAACAATCTCATGAAAGCGCGAAAAATAGGAAGATCATGATTAAAAAACTACTTTAATTTTTGTGCATTTTTTTCAATTTCCATTACGACTCGTTGCAATGTTATGCATATTATCTGAGATGTAATAATATTTTTGAATCGCTTGTATTCGATTATGATACATCTGATCGTTACGGAACAAGAATACCTTTTAACTGTGAAGAAGTGTGGATTTCCATAATCTGAGATTAAATTGTAGAAAAATATGCATACAAATAATTTTAAGATGTAGTCACACCCTGTATAATACACTCCTGAGTGAAATTTTGGAATGATTTCAATCTCAATACATTCGGCATGGAAAGTTGAGTTCTTGTACAGAATTGCATCTTTTGCTAATTTCGGGACACCCTGTATGATATGATTGAATTTTCGAAATCTTCATGGGAGGCTGAATTCAAGAATATATCACACATTAAGCAGGGTTTGTATGTTTACAGTGCGCCCGTTCGATTCAGTTATCTCGTGAAATGCCATCAAAAAGTACTGATGACGTTATTCATCCTACACGAATGATTCTAAATACACTTACTTGATTTGAGAAAACACCCAAATTGAGGAGAAATTTGAAGCTGAGAGTTAATTCCAAAAATTATTCCTTAATATTTTTACGAATTTCTCCACTACTTAACGAAAGCACTGAATTTAACGAACGTACTGTATACGGGTGCATCCCAGAATGCCCTATTCTCACGATGCCCATGCAATTCCCATTATGCCCAATTCCTACGATGCCCCCCCTCGTGTCGACGATTACGGTGATTGCCGAAGAGCGCAACGTTGCCTGGTCAGGAGAAAATCTCAGAAAACACAAGATTCCCACCATGCCCTCCTTTCATAGATTTTCACCATGCCCACCTTTCTTGCATTTCTACCATGCTCACTTTACATACATTCCCACGATGCCCAATCCAACTAAACTCATCGGAAATATGTTTTTCCTGCAACCGACACCAAAGTCACCCATTTTAATACCAAAATCAGCTCTTGAATTGACGTTTCTCTTACTGTTCCATTCGGATCAAAAGTGACTTTGTTTGACTCGCAAATTTTGCTGTCACTTGGCTTCGCTAATGCAAAATTCGCTTGTCAAACAAAGTGTCACTTTTGATCCCAATAAAACAATCTACTATTTTAAGTTCAATTTGAAACTATGTAGACATTTCAATATCAGATATTATGGTTTGAAAATGATTTGATGTTTCTTATGTCCCTGAAATGTTAGTAATGAACCTTAGTTACTAACAAGTAAAATCAACTTTTATAGTGGAAATATAGTGCGTCATATTCTACTAAACTTATCGGAAATCTGTTTTTTCAAGTTTTATTTGAATTTGAAACTATGGAGACATTGGATTTCAGATAACAAATTTGTTATTTGATGTTTCTCACATTTCAGTAATAAAAACGAGTATCACCTAAGTGTCAAATTTTATTTGACATCTACGCAGAATAGGTTGTAGGGTTCATCTTCTCATCATACATATGGAAAGCAACTCCAGTTTATGCAATTTTCTTACCGAATCTCCCATACGCAGCAGAATTAATGTTCGATAATCCTGCTGCTAGGAATATTATCACTGATAATTATTGATACCGGTCAAAATTTTGTTAGAATCGTATAAGACTAATAGCTGAGGGGGGGTGGGGCGTTAAAAGTGAGACACGCTGTATGTATCGCGTGACGTCCAAACATCCAATCCTCTTATGACCCACTGTTAATGAATGGGAACACCTTGTATGAAATAACGAGCATATCCAACATTTATATGACTATACGAAATGGATTGTTGGTATGATCCATTATCAAATGAACGTGGTATTTTTAACTATGAAGTAGTTCATTGTTTTTTTATTACTTCCGTTAATTTGAAATTACCTACTTGATTCTTTCAGAAACAATTCTTCAAACAGTATCCAAAACCACGATATCTTGAAAAGTTTGATTACGTTTACATTGCACATAATCTTTAATGCCATCTGCCAAGTGTTTGTTTATGTAATGAATGAATTCAACCTGTGAATTAAACACTTTCTGAGGTTTGACAGTTAATTTCGTATCAACAGAAACTGATACTACAAAGGAAATTTAAGTACCTCAGCAAGTTAATAATTCATTTTGTTGTGGATTGATCTAAATAATGAATGTTACGATCTTACACAAAGAATGTCAAACCGAATTTCAATGAAAAACAATTCTTGAGTTCATTTTTACTATTCCGTACAACAAGTTTCAGTTATTCCAACTGTATATGTACCTATTGTACTGAAAATTACACACCATGATATTTTTGATCAAGTAAAGGCCTGTGAGTATTTTGTATCGTTTCCATATGAGTACATCATATACCTATACAGAGTGGGCCTTTGAAAACGAAACAGAGGCTCTGTAGGTCGCCAAAACCGGATTATCAAAAAAAACTGAAACAGGTCAACTACATTTTCGAGGAAGACATCTTTCTAAAATATTTTCAGCCCTGCGGCGTTGCCGCTTCTAAAGAAAAGAAGCAACAACTTTGTTATATCAAATGGAACACCTTGTATTTTATTGCATTTTTAGATTCTCCCCGAAGAGCTGATTTCATCAATGCATCACACTTAGGGTCTAGCTGTAATGATTTCAGGGATATAAAGTGTTCAAAATCGAGATTTTGCAACTTTAACATTTTTTTGTGTCGAAACTATTCATTATTGGTCAAAACGGCTCTCATGTCCCGATTTCAACTTGTGATTTACTATCTACTGACATTTATTTGAAACAAATACAGGGTGGTTCAAGATTCAGAATTCTGATCACCCTGTATCTGTATACTGTATATACTGG